ACCGCGCCTCTCTGTATGTAGGCCTTGCTGCTGGTCCTGCCTACCCCAGCCAAAACTTCCTTTCCTCGATTTCTGTTTGTCATCCTTGTGCAGCGACCATGCTTGTCTTCTTCTATGTACCGTTCCAATCTTATACCACCACTACCTGCAGGCCTCCAAATTTCAAGTAGTAGCCTACTACCTGAAGTGTCAGGAGGCTGCGCCCACCGTCGACCGTCGATAAAATCCATCGGCGGCATTGGTGCGTTACAAGCCTCCAGACTTCGTGGAGCCTTTTCAGTAGCCAGTCGTGCTGCAGGTAGTGGTGGTTAACGGATGTATCACAGGACAGCCGCTAAAACTTCCTGATGGCGTTACAGCAAACATTTCTCGCCGCTGCTGCACTGGCCCCAGCAAAACCTCCCGCAAAACCTCCCGAAAGGGCCTTACAGCAACTGATTCTTGCTGCCATACCCCCATGCCTCGCAAAACTGACGTTCCAGAACACATTATATAGCTGCAATCAGACTCACTTTCATTCAGACTTCATATGCATGCAAACAGATTGCGCAGCAAACTGGCGATAAGCGCCCACTCAAAACTCAGAGATATGGTAACCAGGAACACAGTTCAGATACGATCTCACTTCAGATGGCTATGGCGCCTCGGCGCCTATACAAATCTCTGTTCGTCACTCACACAACACTGCTGTTCACACCCTGGATCACCCTGGATATCCCACACGCACGCACTTACACGCTACACTCTCCTATCAGCTATGGCGGCTATGGCCGCTGCTACCCTATCGCTATGACTACGCTCCTTCTCGCCCACTTCGTCTTCGGGCTTGCTGCAGACCACCTCGCACAAGTCACTGTTGGCAGCGCTTCCGCATGGCTTACGCAGGAATGAATGAATGAATGAATGGCGGCGCTTCCGCATGGCTTACGCAGGAATGACTGAATGGCTGTTCGTTGGTCTGGCCCTTTCCCATGCCCGTAGTGCACACAGTCCCATGTGGTACTTGCTGGACTGGACTAGGACTGACTGGGACTGGGACTGCTGACTCAGCAAGGGTGGACTCCACCACTTGCCCACTTGCCTCAGCCTAAATGTGAGCAACATCGACAGGCCACACTAGGACCTTCCGGAAGGCCGTGGACTTGGCCTTTCGATATTGTAGCAGCTACGACCTTGACCTTTCAGGACTGTAGCAGCTACGACCTTGACCTTTCGGAGGAGCCACAGCTACGACTTCTGGTCCTGGCTAAGACTCCTACCCGACAGATCTACAGATCAAACCCCTACCACTACACAGACCTACGACAGACAACAACAACTGTCAAAACACAGGTCACGGGTTCAAACACTCGGGGTCGACACACATACTGTACACAGGTAAGGTAAGAACGAGGGATCGAGCCCTGGGATTTGCATTCGCTACCGCTAACAGGTGAAAACGGTTTCATAGCAAACGTTCAAGATACTATGTTCTCCTGCTGCACGTTTCAGCAGCAGCAAATACGACAAGAGCCATGGCAGTGAAGTACAGAAATGAAGAGCCACAAAGGCTTAAACTGAGGCTAAGTTCACAGGCAATTAAACCACCAGTACCTCCCCGTTGTTCTTTCGAAGTCGCGGCCGTTAACGCGCCGCGGCTTTCGGGGGTCGGGCAAGCCTACGCCCGGTCACTTAAGAAAAACAAACAAACAAACAAACAAACAAACTAACTAACAAACTAGCAAACAAAACAAAACAAAACAAAACAAACAAACTTGAGAAAACCCGAATCGCGCGAGCGCCAGAGAGAGAGAGAGAGTCTCGGCGGCCTGTGCAGGGCGCTCCGCGCAGCCCGCCGAGACTGCGGGCGTCATGGCTGTCTCTAGATACACAAAAGACATCATGGCGGTGTATCTTTCCATGTTCTAGAAGAAGATTCACTCTCCTTTCGCACATTTCGACGGCGTGCAGCGAGGCTCTCTCTCTCTCTCTCTCTCTCTCTCTCTCTCTCTCTCTCTCTCTCTCTCT